ATTTACCGTATAGGCTTATTTGTTACAATTTTTTACAAAATTTGATTAAATTTCAATCAGTGCTGCCCCCTTCTCCCCTTTTTATTAGAATTAGTTTTTATCTTTTATCTTACTCATTAAGTGTTATATTTTAATAAACAAATGCCAGAATAGTCATTAAAATTAAAATTGGTCATTTTCTACGTCAAAATATGCATTTGTGAGGCAAAATCCAAGGGGACCTGTTACATTTTTTGACAACATATTTTTTGTATGTTTATCGATAACTACCAACAAACAAGATTTCATGAAAATATGAGACTATGCGTGCCGCAACTTGGTTGGTGATTACAGATAATTGCTATTAATATTTGGTAAGGGACCAGAGGTAATCAATGATAACATATGTGTTATATGACCAGAGGTAAACCAATTTAATGTCTGTGTAAGGTGACCAGAAGTTAATATCTGTAGGATGATCAGGGTAACCAAAGTTAATATCTGTAGGATGATCAGGGTAACCAAAGTTAATATCTGTAGGATGAGCAGTATTTTTTTTATGCTTTGGATGAGGTGAGGTAAGGCGACCAGAGTTAACTGAAGTCACTATCTATATAAGGTGGCCAGAGGTAACTAATCAATCCAATATATATGTAAGGTGACCAAATGCAAATAAGTTAATATCTGCATGTGTATAGTGACCAGTGGTTACCAAAATCAATATATGTGTGAGGTAATCAGAGATTACAAAAGACAGCATCTCTGTAATTAATATGAACAGAGGTAACTTAGTCAATATATGTATCAGGTGTCCAATTGTAAGCACAGTAAATGCATGTGTAAGCTGACGAGAGTTAACAAAAGTAAAAATTTGTGTAAGATGACCAGAGGTGGTAACCAAAGTCAATGCAACATCTGTATTAGGTAACAAGAAGTATCCAAACCCAATATTTGGTATTAGCTAGGTCAATACATATGTTAGATGACCAGAGGTAACCACAGTAAATATATCTAAGGTGACCAGAGGTAACCAAAGAAAATATCTGGAATATCTGCATAACGAAGTAGCCCTTCATTTGTATTGTGTCGGGAGATCTATGTCATTATCTGTTTGTTTTAAGGTAGATATATATCAAATTTGTTAAATAACCTACTATACTCCTTTCTTTATTGACTCATCGTTCAAACTATCATAACATTATCGACTACATGTACATATCATATGCATGTTGTACGAATGACATTGGTGAACAATTATTTTCTTATACCTATTTTGATATCTAGTTTTATTCTTATCAGTCTATCACACAACATTTTGTACTTATAATTTTAGATTTTTGAAGTTTCGGTTTTGTCCTGTAAGGGTAATTGGTTATTCAGAATATTTCGCTGTTCAAGTGAAGTTTCACTTCAATAAATATATGTCACCTATAATAAAAACATATTCTGTAAAGGGCTATAAGTTGAACTAAAGTTTCTGTAATTCATGGTAAAAAACTTAGTTTATTTTTAGAACCATTGGTTTATTTTTAGAACCATTAGTCTATTTATAGAACCATTGGTTTATTTTTAGAACCTTATTAGGTTAGATCGATATCTGCTGTCACATTTAAAGTAAGACCGGTTCAATTTAGATCGATTCAAACTAAACTACCTCTTTTGATGTTTTAGTTTAGACCGATTCAAAGCGTTCACATTGGGCTTAAATCGATCTAAAGTAAACCGGTCTAGTTTAAATCGATCTAAATGTCCTAGTGTGAACGGGGTCTTTATGACGAGACTAGCTTAATGTGTACTAACCTTACCTTTGGGTCCCTTTCAGCGTAGCTATTATCCTTGTGCGTTCAAACTTGAGATAAATTTGCTATTCTCATTATTTATTTGGCAAATTGATGAAGGTTGCATGTTTTGACACTGATTATTTCTATAGTAGATTTTTTCGATGCCAAAAAATTATTTTGTTACAGTCCATACATATTACATGTGTATTACATCGACATTACAATACAGAAATACACATGCATATATATGCATGTGTATGTTTGTTTCTGAGAAAGGTAAAACACCAGGTAATTCTGACAAGTTACCAACAGTCTTAGACTACATTGAACAATTAGGTATTACACAGGAACCGTATGCTAAACCAAATTACCAATACTTGTTATAATCATCCCGTGTACAAAGTTATTTCCAGAATTTTAAATTAATATACGTCATATTTTGGCCCGGGAAATTCTTTAAAATATCAAATTCTATCACAACATTTGATAACATATCAGAACATTTATAATGAAAAAAAATTAAATATTTATATTTTCAGCTTCTTCATGTTTTATCATGTTATTCTTTATAAATTATTCTAACGTGACCGAGGGGAGCAACGACAATGACACAGACAGACGGACATAACCATACTATGGCACGACAATGTACCTGTGGTAAATATAAATAATACGGTATATTTATACAAGTTTATTCACAAATACACATACTTCAGACTTATTGACTAAGTTAGCTTACAAAGTTTAAACATATAAACTTTAGATAAAAGTCCTCCAGAATCTTTACTGATTTATGACTTCAAGGAAAATCACATCCGTACAGTATCACAGCTGATACACCATCTGCCAGTATCTTGACCAACTGACCTTTATCAGAAAGTTTAATTACTTTCACTCTAAACAAAAAAAAATAGTCATAACTAAATGTTATTACCCTACACCCCAAGACATCGTTACTTGTCTTAAGTACATCTGACAGTTCAACATTAACTGCAAATAATAAAACATTAATTTTCTCTGTACACAAATAAAGTTATAGACAAATTAACCAGAGATCAATATTTACAAAACATTAAAATATTACATTTATATATCAATTGTAAAATACATCGATTTTTTTTAATTTTATTTTTGTAAAATTTGTCATTTGATCAAAAAAGATTCAGCCTAAACTCAATGTAAATGATTTTGACAGTTTAATTTGTTTTTGTAATTTTATTTGACAAAATTTTTATCGAAATTATACCTAGTGTAGTCTATAAAGATATTTGCTACGTATTTTGCTATGCATTTTGGTGAAAGAAAGAAGTTTGAAGTCATAAATAATTAAGTAAATATATTAAGCAAACCTTTACTGATAGCAGATAGAATTAAATCCTGTGGACATATGAAGGGTGCTATTTGAAAGAAAATTGTACATTAAGATTTTAGAATTCAGGGGTAAAAAATTTGCCCAATAACACACTAATCTGTTTATCAATGTAATAGTGCAGCAAGATATGCATTTTTTTTTTCAATTACATCCAAGTTTTCATTCAAGCCAATTGCAGTATTGTAAAGCATGCATGGATTTTCTTTATAAATAAAGATGGATTAAGTACTACATGTACTACATGTAACGTTCAAAATTTTGCTATTTTAATAGTTCTTTTTTTGTTAATGTTATAGATCCCATAACTGTCTTTTAAAATTTGCATTTATACCATTGTACGTCTTATATATACCTTTAATTGCAAAGATATTTTTCTATCGTATTATGAATTTTAGAATAAATTACATGCATATATTTTACCATATCTGTCGTTTATAAAAATTAGAGGCTCTACAGAGCCTGTGTCGTTCATCTGCATTTTCAACAATGGCTACTGTTTAGTTTATTTACATAGTTCTAAGCTATTGTTCTGTTTTATTGAAATAAATATATTACTCTATTGATATAGGAAGATGTGGTATGAGTGCCAATGAGACAACTCTCCATCCAAGTTACAATTTATAAAAGTAAACCATTATAGGTCAAGGTACGGCCTTCAACACGGAGCATTGGCTAACACCGAACAGCAAGCTATAAAGGGCCCCAAAAAAATTACTAGTGTAAAAACATTCAAACGGAAAAACCAACGGTCTAATCTATATAAAAACGAGAAACGAGAAACACGTATGAACTACATAAACAGACGACAACTACTGTAATCAGATTATATCAGAAATGCCGCAAAACTTGTTGCAAAACGTTTGAAAGACTGGCTGCAAAAATCCTCAAAGACACCATTTTTGGAATGTAGTTGTTTTTGCAATTTTTAATATATAAATCTTAGCAAAGCAGACACAATTATTAATAGATTTGTTGAAGCAAATTAAATGACAATATTTTGACACTAACGTCTTCGTTTACAGTTATTGTTTGACGACAATATCTTGTTGGCAGCCATCACAAGTGATCAATTGTTGGGAAAATTAATACGAGTTTGCTTCGAAATTTACGAATGTTTAAATATAAAAACTGTGGTTGCCAAACTGTTCCGTCTTGCTAATGTTGTTTAGCAAATGCAATAGCTGCATAATTTTAATATATGCAGGCCATTTAGTTTGAAATAGACTTGAGTAACTGCAAAAATTCTTGGATACTGTATATTTTTGAACAAATATCCTTGCATTGTTGTTGTCAGGTCGGATTCAAGGGGAATCGCAGCAGGCATGAGCTACCCTCTAGTATCGGCAAAAATATCATCAATCTTATTTTGGCATAAACAGTGTCACTTTTGTTTTACATTCTTAAGGTTGAGCTCTTAAGTCCTGGAACCATCCCTGATTGTTTATTATACTGGTTTCTGTTGTATGTTTTACTATATGTCCCAAGTAACATACCTATTCAGTGATTATCTGTAGTGATAAATGATATTGTTTATTTTGCCATATTTCTTATCAATAGTAATTGTTTTGTTTTAATTTTTTTGTATGGTTTGTTTGTTTTATTCATATGGAAGTTTGTGTAAGTGACGTTATTATTTTTTTTTCAATTCAAACATGATTGTCCGTTCTGCATATTTGTTTTGTAAAATGTTTCATCCGATTGCACATTGGAGCATTATTCACACCATTGTATGACACAGTATTTTTATCATATATACACCACGCGATATCGTTACCAAAACACTAATTTTAACAAACAAAACAAATAAAAAAAAACGGAACTTAAGTCATTCATTTGATATCTATAATTATATGTGCATTTGATTACAGAATAGTCTCATATAAACATGGCATGCACATTTTGTGGCGAGAACAGATTCAGGAGCGCTGCGCAGCAAACATGCCATACTGCTATGAACCATGGAACACACAGTTGTGGTTGTGGATACAAGTTTACTTCTGAAGAAGAATTAAAATCACACGAGACAACAATGAAGAAAAACATGAAAGAAAATCCATGCTCTAGTTGTTGTCGTTCATTTGAAACAAATGGGGCATTGACAGATCATAAGAGGGCTAAACTTCACGATTATACTAAACCCCCAAATCAGTGTGATTGTGGAAAAAGTTGTAAATCTGCAGATGGTCTCGCTCGACACATTCGCGCTAAACAAGAAAATTTGAATATTGCAGATGCAAAATATAAAAGCAAAGGAGAATATTATGATCACTTTTACAAAACAAATGTTATGGTGAGTAAAGACGATCGTAAGGAGAGTGTTGGAAAGTGCCGTGACACGTTACACAAAATCATGGATCATGTTCGCAAACAAGAGGATGGCAAAATATACAGCAATGATATCAGAAAAGCTGGAAGTCATGCTACTAGAACCAAGGTCAAGAAAGCCGACGAATTTGACGTTAACATCTCTTTGACCCTCCCTGTGGCTGACGTCAAGACTAAGGGGACAGTAAAATATATCTACAAAGATAATTTGAATCCACGTGACCCAAAGGTGAGCATACAGAAACCTTGTTTCGCCTTTAACGCAGCCATACCGGTATGTATAGGTTTATTTTGGATCGACCAGAAGTTTAATACTAGCAACATGCCATTAAAACCGATAAAGTAACACGAGAAATTGAATTTCACAAACGTTATCTTTATAATCATAAATGAAAGACTATCGCAACTTTTTACAATCAACTACCCCCACATGGCTTCAAATGGTCTATACAAACAGAATAATAGCCATAAAATAAAGAATAAAGATAAATAAGCAAACAATTAAGAACAGAAAATAATAGAAAGCTGAAAAATAAAGAATAGAAAATCGATGGAAAAAAATTTAAGAATAGAGATAGAAAAGAAATAAAGAACTTAGAAAGGAACACAATGTACGTCTTATCTAGCATGATCTAGACACTTGTCTAGCGTTACTGTCATCTGAGAAATTTTAATTCTGTATCTTTTGCAAAAATGGGTACTAAGACGTTATGTCACACTGATTCAGAAACTATAAAGATTATGGAACTTTATCTTTTATAAAATAGGAGAAAAAAGAAGTCACTTCTGGACAAGTCAAAGTCACTTCTGGACAAGTGAAAGTCACTTCCGGTGTCAAATCATAGCTTAATCAACAGTGATTAAAAATGGCTTTGGTGTAATTTTGTTTCATAAAATAAGGGCGACAATTTGCTTCTTCCGGTTTAAAAAAATCCTTTTCGGTTGAAGTGATGAAATGGTTATTTGTAGATTCGTTCCAAAGACATCTATGTACTTTAACATGGAATTATTGCAAAAAATTGCTGCTTCCAATTTATATTTTCAAATTATTTTCTCTTCGAACCTCATGCGAAAGATCCCATGTGTTTATCATGCATCAATATGAAGTATACCAAGGGTCAAAATCAATTGTACCTTATATATAGACGTACATTTCAACAACTGAGTATGATAAATAAGTTATATCGCCAATCATTTTATTTAGACTTTCAATGAGTAAAAACTCCTATTAAATGACACCGGAAGCTACATTTTATATAAATAAAATCATTTTGTTTAACTTTGATTTTTCTGGCAAGGTTTAACCATTTTAGAATAAGGATGGGAAATTGAAATAAGATATTTCAATATCGAAAACTCTATTTTAGAGTGCATCTCCAGAAAACCTGAATGTGAAAAGAGAAATGACTGCCGTCCCAAAAGGCAGACAGCACCATATACCTATCGGATATGCAGCTGTTAAGGCTAAGGAGAATGAAAAGATAGCAAGTAAAGTAACGCATAATGGGGACATAATACCAAGAAAAGTTCAGGAGGATCTTTACAGCAAGATGAACACTGCCATCAAAGACTTGGACCTTAAAGGTATTTACTGAAAATGTTTTCGTGATTTGCGTTCATAGTGCCAAAAACGTCAACCTGCATTTATGAATAAAATTATATGAAGGGTATACGTTAATGAGATAGCAACGCAACAAAACAATTTCATATCTGCATATGTTGACAACCGGCCTTTAGCCAACACTAGACTAAGTATAACACAAATCGCCAGATGTCTAGAGAAAAGTGTGAACATAATGAAAGAAGACTTGCAATTCTCCAGCGTATTGCTATAAAATCTACCAAAGACAACAAAGAGAAAATTAATACTAAACGTTAAACGTCAAGCGTCAAGTTTAAAAAAAAAGATTTGTCAATAACTTATTTAATCATTTGGAAGGGGGAAAAGGAAGTGGAAAGGGAGGGGGTCGAACAAAAATCATATATCTGAAAATTGTCACCTTTAAGTAATATGCATATGTTATTCAGGTGTGCATATTTCTAGAAATTCCCATGGTCCAGCACTGACATTGACCAAAACAGGTTCAAAAGGGAAACACGATATTAATATAGACGTCACTACAACGATTGGTGATAAACATATACCAGTGGGTATGTATGGTTGGCCTCGTCCTGACACAAGTAAAGTTCTTCCAAAAGATACAATAGATAGAATTAAAAACGTCGGAACCCACATGGTCCCTAAAGGAGGTGAATTTTGGAATGTATCCCACTCTAAAGCAGAGAAGGAGCTTATGAAAGGATTAGATATGGGGAATCAATGTCGCCGACAATGTTACAAGATGTTAAAAGCAGACGTACAAACTTGGAAGTCGAGATCCACTGATAATTATCCGGGGATATCATCCCACCTTTTGAAGGTAAAATCTTGGGGATATACTTATTTTTACGGGATAAAAGGTTAGAGGATGCCAAGGGGGAAATCAAAAGAATTTTAGGAAAAAGGAAAGACAATCACAAGGCCAAAAGGAAAATAGAGAAATAGTAGCTAACAATTCAAAACACTTACAAAATGAGGATTAACCAACACAAATATCTGTCATCACTACTAACACAGTATTGTTAGTTGCCACAGAAAAACATGTGTGGAATGCACATTCGATGGTAGTCATTATCAAAATGATGATGGTATAATTGAATCAACGGAGAATGCATGTTCTCATCTATGCCAGACATATTCAATAATGTTCAAACAGGTGTAACTGGCGTCTATAAAACGTTAAAACTGAGTAGAACCGTTTCAATGGTCCTGTGGTAGCGTGCTTGTTTTTTTTAATGGGGGAGGGGGGAGAGAGAGATCAAGACCATTCCACATGTGGTCCATGCAAAGATTTGATACTGATAGTTGCTGGTCTGTTTGGAATCCATAAGAGATGACATGTCTTGCTCTTGTCTGATAACTTGTGGAGTACTGCATTAAATCGGGGTTTGCTTGTCGATCGAGTACACGCCAAAGGTCATATTTATTCATCCAATATAAGTGTTTAATCTTTCTTGATATTAAAGGAACTTCAATGTTTGAAGCTGCACAAAAAGTAATTTTAGCATTTATATAAAGGTAAAACTAATTTGATAAATAAGAAAACTTTTTTTTTTAACACTCATAAAATTCCTTTATTGCACAACTTGCTGCTTAACAATATACTTGATGTATAGCAATAAGAAAACTTATTAGCAACAAACTCATCATATATTTGTACGCCAGTCATGCGTTTTGTCTAAAAAAGAAGACTCATCAGTGACACTAGAATAAAAAAGTTATAAAAGTCAAATAAAATATGATATATGATCAACAGATAATCCAATATGACTGAAACTTTGATTCACCTCTTTATGAGTTATTGCACTTTTAAAAAAAATACAATTCAAGCATTTTTAATTGACACTGTAAACATAATAAACAGCACAATTATCATTAAGGCAAGATCTAAGTCAGACAAATCAGAATGTTATATTATATGACAAAGCAAAACTAAAAACCCTTATATATCTTTTTCATGTTTTAAGCACTCAATGTTTTGGATGAACGAGCGACACAAACCAGACAATAAAGATTATTGGAACCAGAAAAATATCCACAATTGTTACACTGATTATCTTAATACATTTAAACGCAATTTAGATCAGTGCAAACTACCAGATTACTTCCATCCTATGAACAACATGCTTGGGAAAAAAGACAAAGAGGTGTGTCACCAACTAGCAGGATGTGTTGAAGAAAGAAGAAATGAACTTTTACACATGAAGCTTCTCAAATGAAGATTTTTATTAATGCACGTGTAGGATTCAGAACTACGGCAGTGAGATTATAAAATAATTGCCTGTTTAATACTAACCTGATATTCATTAGTTAAGGTCTGCATTGTGGTTTTGATTTTCACTTGTGATCACCAGGGCGTTATATTTCATACAGTTAGCTTTTTACATTCCAAAATGGTAAATGATATAATGTGATTTTTTAATTATTTTAATTGCTCGTCCATAATTGTGCCAAAGTTCTGTGTCCTTTGTTTTGCATCTGCTTTGAGGTAGATTTTTGATGACCTTGTAAATTTGTTTTAAATGAGTTTTCTTTTCTTATAAAGAATTACAAGTTATAGTGGACAGTATATGTTAAGAAAAAAAATGTATGTCCTAAATCATTACATTGTCTAAAACAAAAACACTCTTTTTTTTGTGTATGTATCATACATGTAGCTTGATATTGAACAAGAATGATTTTAATGTCACAAACTTGGACAAAACTGAATGGCAACTTTGTTTAGGGTGTTTTTTTTTGTGTCTTTCGTCGTGATTAAAGACCCTTAAACAAACTAGTGTGATTGAAAAAGTTCATAAATGAGAGCCAAATTATGCAGTTTCTTTATAAATGTATTGAAAATGGTTTTTGTGTTTTACATAAACCATAAGTATTATTTTTTGTAAAGTAAACTGCGTTAAATAAATACTTATAATAAATTTACTATAATATGTGAAGCATTCTTTTTTTTTAAATCTCAGTTGCATAAGACAATCGGGGCACTTAGCGAACTCCATAATATTATGGAATTTTATAATTTAAGCTGTATTATGAAAATCCATAATATTATAAGATTGAATAATATTTCTAGTAATATTATGCAAGATAAGATAAAACAAAATGAAGGTCAGGTTATATCCGGGTACAAAGGCTTCCTCCACCAATAAATACTTGCTGCAAAGATATAACTAGTGCTGCAAGCGACGTTTAACCCCATCAACAAATCAAACAGCTATTTAAACAAATTTAAAAAGACATTCAAAACAACAATCAAAATCATTCGGGTGAAGTTCTATGTATTTCGTCAAGATACGAATTGGTTCTTTCGGAGTGACAGATAAAAAGTATAATATAACATTTTGCATATTTCGGAGTGACAGATAAAAAGTATAATATAACATTTTGCATATTTACAGTTGCAATGATAACACTAAATTAGATTCACGAGGAAAATATATCATAAGCACCAAAATGTCGGATGTTAGCTGATAACCTTCACCTTTGCTTTAATGTCTTTTTATTTTTTTCATTAGGACTCATATCTTGTTTTTTTTCAATTTTACATTTCTATATCTGATTATATATAGAATATTTTGTTGTATTTAGTTGAAGTAACTTGTAGTTGTTTACATATTGCAAATTGTATTGTCGATTTTACTGGTATCAATAAGCCTTAACGTGATACTTTTCGTACTATGATTTCTTTGTCTGATGTATCAAAATATTTCACTTTCCTTTTTATGTTTATTCTTCAGTTTCGGTTTACAATCTCTGAATTAACCGCATAGAACAATTGGTTTTTTTATGATTACGATAATTTAGAACAGCCATCCCTTACATAAAGACAAAATTGATGGTGCAGGCATTTTGTCTAGTCCCAGTCGTAGTGATGTTAACAAATTAGATTGCCCTGTTTGAACAAATATTCTACACCCTTTACTCTGTTATTAAACAAATACTACATCCTTCACTTAGGTCTTCCGACTGGCAGTTAAACCCTTGCCAAATTCAAGTTCGCAGCCACGTCCGGTAAGAATGGGAACGTTAAACCCACACGTTAAGAACCCTTGCAACAACTCTTTGAGGCGTCTGTAGGTGGCCTGTTTCAAGGCAAACTTTCTGTCACTGTCAAATATACCCATATTTCCCAGTGGCGGTTCAAATTACTACGACCTTTATCCTGAACGGCCTCTATTACAAGACCTACTTATTGTACGCGTATTTATTGTTAATTTGTTCTTGTCCTGAACGTGCATGAAACATTTGCCACTAAATGTCAAACAACCAACAATCAATCGTCAATGTAATATTTTTTTTTTTTCAATGAAAATAATATTCTAGAATCTTTCTTATATTTGGATCTTATATTATACAGAAACTTCTATTCAATGACAGACTATTGTAAGGCAAAACTTCCGCCCCTATTCAATACAATTCAATACATCCGAGGCCAGGGTTTCCAGCGACAGTCATAATTTCCTACCCTTCTTCCGAGGACCTATCATTTGTTGGTAATATGTTTCGTCCTGAATGTACATGAAATATTTGCCACTGGACGTTAAGCAATCAACAATCAATAAATTTGTCTTTGCATATATCATCGACTCAAAATTTAGAATTTAGAAAAAAATTTCTTTTTTTATTCTGAATATGCATTTTTTACACACAAAATAGGGAACAAAATCAGCAAAGGCCACGCCAAATTAATACCTCGTTCGTCGGATTTCCCGCGTGTTGTGAAAGGTCGACAAGAAAAAGATACATTTTTTAAAAACCGGCGTCCAGTACGGAGCCGCGCGCGTCCGTCTCTAAATTTATGAAACAAATATTTTAATCAGTTGTGCGTTTGAAAGTAACGCCATACAGACATGGAAATTGACAAGAAAAACGATCTAGATTTAACATTCACAACGTTGTTGTTACAATATTATTGCCACATTTAGTATGATAAACATTCTTAACGTAAAACATGAGTGGAATATTTGTAGTTACAGTGATAACGCAGGCGAACACATCAGTAGAATATAATTTAGGCAATTCTTTTACCGATTTGTTGGAAGTTCTTCGTGCAAGACCACAAACGTTCATAACATCTAACTACAATAAGGACACAGGAAATATGACAGCAATTTTTGGACCAGCTGCAACTACCATCCCTAAAAGATCGTTGAACCCAAAACTGACTTATCCTCTTTTTCAAAGGCATACACGGTCAAGCCAACTTACCTTTCGTTTATGATGATCTGATCAACTGACAAAAAACATCAAGGACAACCAAGAACATGCATTATGGCCAACATTTCCTGAGACTGCAAACAAAACCAGTCACATTAAAATTCTTCTTCAAACCAAACACAACTAAAGATTGGAACCTACTACTACCGGACATTTTCACCAAGATTCAAACAGCAGAAGAACAAGCTAAAACTTTCAGTGATATTGCATGGGGTGTCCCACTAAGTGAATTTTTTACTTGACTCACGTACGGTGTAGTAATATCCTAGAATGATTCACCGTATACCTATCAAGATCAAACGACAAAGCAACAATGCCACCGAATTGAAAGATTTTAATTATGACAATATAACATGCATAAGAATAAAAGAGAATCCCAAGCTGATGGTACATGAATTGAAATGGCACCGCAAATGAAACATTATATTGTTTACTTTTTTCAGCTGTTTTAGAATAAAGGTTTTCCTTGAAATTTTGTTATCTTTTATTTAAATTTGCTAGTATCATTACAAATTTATATTAAAATAAAATTGAAAATGGAAAGGAGAATGTGTCAGACAACAACCCCACCAAAGAGCAGATAGCAGCCCAAGGCCACGAATGGGTCTTCAACACAGCTAGAAAAATCCCGCACCCAGAGGCTGGCTTCAGCTGACCCCTTAACAATAATGTATACTAGTTAAAAGCATGAAATTTAACAAGAATGTTTATGTGGTAATTGAACTTAACACATCAACCTATCTTTACAATTTACAAAATCTTCTAAAAATAAGAATTTGTATGATTGTCAATAAGACAACCTTCCACCAGAGACCAAAATGATTGAGGTTTCCAACTAGTTCACGGTATGGCATTCAACACAGAGCAATATCCACATGCATGTATACATGTATATATATTAAAATTTGATTGTCATTAAATTCTACAGGATAACAATGACTTATTAAGTGGAATGTTTTGAAATGTTCATTTTGTTTAGTTAGTATATAGCATCTGGTGGGTTCATTTGAATGGTATAAATTGGTGTGGTTTTTGAAGGACAATTCTTTATTAATTTTCAGCTTGTTGTAAACACACATATTTATGGTTGTATATACAAGCTTTATACATGTATATATATATGTTTTGCATATGTTTATTTAAAACAACATACGATGCATCAATTATAATTTACATTAAACATGGATGCATGTCTGTTCAAAGCTGTTGCACTTTTTCATGTTCAGCAGGATCATATTTATTTGATCAGACTACAAAAAGTTGTAGGTTTTGCTACAAAGTAACCATTTTATACTCGGAAATGTTGTGAAAAGATTAAACTGGGTGTCAGAGAACAAATTGAGAAGCAAAGTAGGGTAATATAAGAACTAGGATATGAGATATATAAAATATCAAGCACCGAAACTGTGTAAATTTCTAATCGCTCGCTTGCTTAAAATTCTGTTAACTGATAAATGTATTTTCTTTTATTTGTTGTGATAAACGCGACAGGAGTCATCCTGCCAAATTTAGCTCAAACAAATCCCTGGTTGCATGTATAATATAGGTAAAAAAAATTCAGGATAATGTATCGCAATTTGATGATTACATTTATTGGCGCAATTAATACCATCAGAAAAATTGAGAATGGCGCAATTGATACCTTTTCAAAACTGGGGGGATGGGGTGGGGGGGGGGGAGGGGGTGGGGGAGAGCGGATGTGTGTTGTTAATATTTTGAATGGAGAGATGACAGGTGTTGGTGTTGCTCGATCTTTAGTTGTGTTGTGTTTTGTTTTTTGTTTTTTTTCGTCTGGCTATAAAGTTGCCTATACTTTTTAGACTTATGGTTTTGATTGCCTCCTTTACCGTTGTATCGTCGATACGTCAGAACGGTTATTTGATTTCACATTAACAAAACTTTGAGGAAAATGAAAGAACTGTATGCATATAAGTGATGTGTCCAAATGTTTTCGCTCATTTAAAATAACAAAGTCTGATTTAATTTTTTTTTTCAAAGATTAATAATAATAAAAATATATTAAACATTTACATGCACGATTATATGTGAACACTATATATGTAGACAAGTCTAAGGAGCAAAAATAATCACAATAATCACTGTGGCATCCATAATGTTTTCAGACAGCTTCCGCCTCCACCTTGACCAACAGCCCTTACACGAGTTTACGAATCTACGTTACACACAGTTATATATTTAAGAATTACAAAGTATCTAGTTTTAGAGAATCTTTAAGCATGCTATCCACGTGGTTCATATAGTGAGTACCATGGTAATTTATCTATGTCAACGTTTCCATCACATATAATAATATAAATTTTCCTCATACTAGGATCCATCTGTTTTAACTTATCTGACATGGCAGCAGCTGCAATGTCGCTCAAGCGGTAGCTTCTTTTAACAGCTAAAACAAAAAAGTCAATATTTTAATTTGAATTTCACCCATTTGATTGGTACTTTCTTTCTAAACAATTTAATTCATAATCCGTTTCAAAAACATGAAAATAGGACTGAATAATACCTGTTTTCCCACGCTTAGCAAAGAACATATTTGTAAACATATATCTATAGAAAAGTAAAATAACAAAAATACTGAACTCCAATGAAAATTCAAACCGGAAAAACAAATGGAAAAATCAAAAGCTAAAACACATCAAACGAATGGAAAACAACTGTTATATTCCTGACTTGATACAGAAATTTCCTTATTTAGAAAATGGCG